TTATTGTTAATATAGTGTTTAATAATGGATCATGTATTTCTCGTTGTTCAATAGATTCTAAATAATTTTTTATTCGTGTACAATTAAGAAGTTTTAAATAAAAATTGAGTATTTTTTCAGCAAATAGTGAGTTTGATGAAAAAACTTCATGTAAATCAATATTTTCAACAAATTTAGGTAAATATTGTGCAAATGAAATTAAATGAGGAATAATAATGGGTGATCGATCAACAATTTCAAGAATATCCGTTGCCTTAATGAGTAGATCAGTTAATAGATCAAGTAATATTGAAAATTGTTTATCTTTAATACGTTGATAGGCTGGATGAATTTTTGTTGAGAGTCGATCAATATATGGAATAATTAAATCACAATCGGAATTATCTAATAGAATTTGTTCTAACTCATAGAATATATTCAAAAATTCGTCAATAGATACATCTATAACTGGTACTAATTTGTTAATCAACGACATTTTTCTTCTTTCTTTTCAAGACATAAAATACAAAAATCTTACTTTTAACAAATATTTTATTGATTTTACTGATGAATATGATGAACATATAGTTGATGAAAAATAACAGATACAAATCTGTTATTTATATAAACTATTTCATAGAAAAGGAACTGCAACGTCAAGTTTATAAAGCAAAAAAGAAAAAAATATATATATATCTCAACGCCAATTGATCATAGTGACGATTACAAAAATGACACTGGTTTTGCCAGAGTAAAAATGGAAGTTTGACGGCAAAAGGTGCAAAATAAGAGTGCATTTATTTATCTTTTGCTACCTGTTTCAAAAAAAACATCAATTTTCTCAATAGCGAAGCAATATTTTTCTAAACCGATACATAACTCTTTTTTCTCGATGTCGCGAGTCTAATGATATAAAAATATTTAGTAAATACTCTACTGATACGGTGACAATTTGAGAAATAGGCTTATTTCATGCACTTTTTCGGTTTTCTTAAAAAAGAAAATTATTAGGTGATGGTTTTCGATTTAAAAGAAAGATCAAATGATATTGCATTTCCAGTTTTCTTTTCTTCTAACGTGCTATAATTATGGTATATTTCACATCGATTTGTAGTTTGTTTGATAGTCTCATTCTATGTGGAAAATCTTTCTTTTTGTCCCAAAAACTTTTGTTATTTGCATATAAATAATAATAACAGATTCCTACAATTTATTACAGTCACGTGACATTAGAAAATTTCCTCCAATATACGGGGAACTTCTCAAGAGGCTCATTTTTTGTTTGAAACATACGCCGTGTGAAACGGCTGGTTGAACTCTCCTGAAATAGCTTGCAAAAGAGAAACAGGAACTCCCATATGAGCGGGGGCTCAGAGAAATAGCAGATGAACGGACGTTAACAGACTATTTAGAATGGGTTGTTGAACTCCCTAGAGCTCTTTGAACGGGTCCAGTTCTAGAATCTCGTTCGAACGCTTTAACGCACTCCAGATGGCCAGGTAACTAGTTCGAAATCGATTTAAACGCCCGTTCAGTAGGTTTTTGGAACACCATTCTATCATTGTCCACAATCAACAAATACAAAGAATTTTAATATACAAGTTCAACATATGTACAACGTAGTGAAACGGATGACGACCAGAAGAATAGTATATACTTTACTTTTTTTCTACCTTGTTGTCCATTATTTTTATATTCCGTTCCACTATCTAAGCTGTAGGTCAGGATCGTCCTGTTCTTTAAATCTCTGTAGTGTCGATGTTCGCAAAACACGAGACATTCCTTTCTGATCTCTCTATCAAAGTCTTCTCAGTCGTTTTCCCGAGAAAAATCTCGTTAGTGCTCTTTTTCATCTCGATGGAATATCTCTTACCAAGTCAACCAAATTGAAGCTTTGGCTCCTTTCCTTCTCCCTTGTTGAACTGCCACCCACAATCCGATTTGCTCGCCACAATATGCCTGTAGTATCAATTTGGGTCTCGTTCAAGATGCGAAAAAGATTTTTTAAAAAAGAAAAGTTGTTCTCTCTGTACATTCATGAAGGACATCAGATCTAGATACGTATGATGTGCTCTCTGTGACAATCTGTTAGGAAATACAGCATTTCGCCTAAATCAACAACTACGATAGTATAACCCGGAGGGAGCAGTAGCTATAAGGTACGCTGTCCAGGTTTGCCTATAACTGTCTGCTTCAGGAGACACATCCAAGTGTTTCTGAAAGCGAACCCAGT